CCCTGTAGAGGTGATTTGTGGGAGGCAAATTCCCTCAACTTTTGCTTGTCTGGGAATTGTTTAATCCCTCCTTCATATTTAAATGATAGTCGTGCTGGATACAGTATTCTTGGTTCAAGGCCCTTCTGTTTCATTGCATTAAATATATCATGCCATTTTCTTCTGGCCTGTAAGGTTTCTATTGAGAAGTCTGATGATAGCCTGATGGGTTTTCCTTTGTAGGTGACCTTTTTTTTCTCTCTGCCTGCCTTTAATACTCTGTCCTTGTCCTTGATCTTTGCCATTTTAATTATTATGTGTCTTGGTGTTGTCCTCCTTGGTTCCCTTCTGTTGGGAGTTCTGTCAGCTTCCATGGTCTGAGAGACTATTTCCTCCCCCAATTTGGGGAAATTTTCAGCAATTGTTTCTTCAAATACACTTTCTCTCCTTTTTTCTCTCTCTTCTTCTGGTGTCCCTATAATGCGGATATTGTTCAGTTTGGATTGGTCTCACAGTTCTCTTTATATTCTTTCATTCCTAGAGATCCTTTTATCTCTCTGCCTCAGCTTCTCTGTGTTCCTGTTCTCTGATTTCTATTCCATTAATGGCATCTTGTGCCTCATCCAGTCTGCTTTTAAGTCCTTCCAGAGATTGTTTTATTTCTGTATTCTCCATCTCCGCTTACTCTGTTAGTTGTTGCATATTTGTCCTCAGCTCCATCAGCATGACCATTATTTTGAATTCTTTTTCAGGAAGATTGGTTAAATCTATCTCCCCAGGCTCCTTCTCAGGGGTTGTCTGGGTTATTCTTGTCTGGATCAAATTCTTCTGCCTTTTCATGGCAATAGAGGTAGTCGTGGGCAGTTGGCGCATGTGTCAGCTGGGAGAACAAAGTCCTAGTGGCTTGTGTTGGGCAGTTGCGTGCCAGTGGGGCCTCTGAGTCTTGCTTGGGCAGCTGCAGAGGAGGCTCTGGGCGGTTGGTTTGGGCGCGGCCGCTCTCAGGCTTATCCTGTGCCATGTCGGGGCAGCACTGAAGTGGGAATGGATGGGAGGGTGTTTATTGCTGTGAGGGGCCTCAGAGCTGTGCTGCCTCCCAGGGGGTTAGGGTGCCTGGAGTTCCCCAGGATTCCCCGCTGCTAAGCTGTGTGTGCTGGGACACTTCCATCCAGCTATGAGGCTCCTGTCCCTTTAAGATTTTCAAAAAGCACTTGCTTTTCTTTTGTCCCAGGGGAGCTGGCTGCAGGGACCCGCTCGCAGATTTTACTGTTCCATTTCCGTAATATTCAACACACCATGCAATGTGTGTCTGCGCTCCGGTGCGGATAGCTAGGGCTGGCTGTTTAGCAGTCCTGGGCTCCCTCTCCCCTCTCTGACTCCTCTCCTCCCACCGGGGAGCTGGGGTGAGGGGAGCTTGGGTTCTGCCAGGTATCTTACCTGCAGCTTGTATCTTTCCCACTTCGCGAGGCACTGGGTTCTCACAGATGTAGATGTAGCCTGGCTGTTGTCCTGTATCTTCTGGTCTCTCTTTTAGGAATAGTTGTATTTGTTGTATTTTCAAAAATATATATGGTTTTGGGAGGAGATTTCCACTGCCCTACTCACACCACCATCTTAGCTCCTCCCTCTCCACGTTTACTTTTAAAATGTGTCTGCCTTCCTCATTTGTTGCAAACCAAGACAATTCATTGACAAAGTGTGATTTTCTTTTCAGAGACAATTTTCCAACAGGGGTTTACTTTTACTTTGTTTTAAGACCTCATGTTATATATTTGTATGAATAGGGGGGAAAGCATTTTATTTAAACTGCACATAAGCTGAGTGAAGAGTACATGGTGTGAGTGTTGGGGGGAGGGGATCATCATATTACTCCATCTGTTTTTCTCTCTGTTTGAAATTGTTTGTGATAAAAATTTTCTTTTAAATCTAATGATGGGGGGAAGAAAAACCCAATATATGGAGGGGCTTGCTGAATCGTGAATCCTCTTGCAGGTCTGAGGTACAGAGGACACAGCCAGCTTTCTAGACTAGGACCTCCTTCCCTCCTGCTGTCTTGCCGGCTGGCTTTCCTCAGCACCTCTTCCAGAAGCTGGGACACTGCAGCAGCCATTTCAGAGCAGAAAGTAGAAATGGTGTGCAGCTTTTTGAAGGCATGACTCAGTCTGGCACTTGGGAGATTTCATCTGAAATACAGTGTGAGATTTTTCTGTAATCTCTACATTTTGGTTCCAAACCAATGCACTCTGCTTTGGACAAACAGTGGCAGTATCTTCCAGATAGAAGCTTACACACATTATAATAAGTTTAATTACAGAGGAAAAGTATATCAGGTAAACTTTGAAAGTGTCCAAATGCAGCATTTATCTGATGCAAGGAATGTATCACAGTCTTCTAAACAAGAATTCTGATTTTATCAGTCAAAAATTTAGCCATGCAATTTAACATTTTTATATAATACAGAGTCTGTGAAATACTTATGAGATCTTTGTCTTTAATATTTATAAATAATAAAAAAATTCCCATGCCTGAGTGTTGCCATTTTACTGCCACTTCTAGCAGGAAACCTCTGTCTGCTGACTAATTCATGATATCGAAAGTGGGAAAAAAATGCATGGGAAAGGCTAGCGGCTTGAAAAGCTGTGCCAAGGTGAGGTGTACTACTGACCAGTAGGAAGTACTACATTTTATTAGACCAAAATTCAGCTGAGAAACTATTCTAAAAAAATCACCTCTATGTTAAAAACTTTTAAAACTGTACATCTTTTCCTGTGCATTCAACTTGAACAAAATACAGTCCAATTAGTCTACCTGAAAATACAGTAGGACTTCCTACTGTAGGGGGCTGGGCACATCTAACTGGGGAATTGTGAACAAGCTTTTAGAAGTCATCTGCACCTCCATTCTAAAATTATATTTAAAGAAGATCAGAAGATGTTCTTCATGCTGATTAAGTGTTGGTAGTTAAATTAGCACATTTTTTGATATAGTTAGGCTTCATTTTTCATTGCTTTCTGCTAAATCTGAGGAATAAGAATGAGCAGATGTTCAGATTAGAGTTTTAAAGAAAAAGCCCAATTTCAGTATCCTTCTCACTTTTCTCCCCTCTGAGAGATACTGTGAAGATACGTGTAGAGTAAGCTGTTGGAATGTGTGAAGCATTTGATTAGCATGTGTGTAAGTCAGGTGTATGTTTTTAGTTCAGAAAATTCAGCTGATTATTTCCCTAGTTTGGTTTTCTTGAAATTCAGTTTTTTAAAATTCCCATAGGTGATGATGGAGATAATGTCAATGAATGAGAAGAAACTGGGGAACATTCTGTTTTAAGTATCAAATTCAATTCTGTGTTAAATCTGGGAAATATAAGTTTAAATTTCTAACGCAAACATTAAATGCAAATTGGAAGAGAGTTTTTACAAAAATCCTATCTTGGATATTGCAATCTTCTTACTGAATTTCATTTGAGCACTGATAAAAGCGCTAAACGTAGAAACCATTGGTTCTTTAGTAACTTTTTTACAATGCTTCTCATCTCTCTTCCCATCCACCCCTGAAATCTAATTGTAAACTAACTTTAAACTTGATCCAACTGACCAAGGCTGCTGTTATAAAGATGATTCTTTAGCCTGATGGCCAGACCTCTGAGATGTTTATCCTTTTTTCATTCTACTTAATATGGTGTGCAGAGAGCATAATCTTGGCAGGGCATCTCATGTGTTTTGAAAATGTTCTCTAAATGGTAGAAATGGCTCTGTAGGGAAGCCAAGGTTTTTACACAGTTTCTCTTAGAGAAATAAAATTCTTTATCCTAGATCTGATGTCCAGTTTTCACAAGATGATTGCTGAGAAGGTTATAGACGGCATCTCTTAAAAAGCATTGCTTTCTGTTAACTAGAGATGTGCAAGCAAGCCAGCGCTCCATAGCCTTAATTGCAGAGATGATCCACACTGCTAGTCTGGTACACGATGACGTTATTGATGATGCCTGTTCTCGGAGAGGAAAACACACAGTTAATAAGATCTGGGGTGAACAGAAGGTATGGTCTCTTTGTTTTTTTCTTAATCCTTCCAACCACATCACATGTTCTGTGGATAGCATTTATTTTTCAGATTTGTCTCATTAAAAAGCAACATATGCTTCCTCAAATGTGGTCTTCCAACTTTTGAAATAGGATTTATGTCCTCTCTGGTTACAGATATTTGATAAGATGTGACATCATAGAAAAATAAACTTAGTGTTTCTGGTTATTCATGGTTTTATATAGAATTCCTTGTGGTTATAAGGAAAGGGAGTTTGGTAGTTACACAAAAAGCTTATTTCTTGAGGCATCATACACTTCATTTTGGCCTCAGATTAATCAAATGCTGCTTACTTGCTGAACCGTCAATTGACTGCCACATGCAAGAGTGTCAAGGCAAGTCAAACATAAAACTAGAATCTGTCTGTCTCTCAGAGGAACACTGTTCTACCACAAAAATTTTACCTTTTGAAAATACCTTTATAATTTTAAAGTATATTTCCATATTGTTTTATTAGAATATCCTGTAGGGGCATATGTAAAATGGGGAGTTTTGGTTGAGGGAGCTTAAGTCTTGGGTTGAATAAGGGGGATGATAAATAACTGAGGAGAAGTGGCTTGGGAGCAGCCACTTATTGAGAGTACCTGTTCCCACCTGTTTTCCGATTGCCTTTATTAAAAGGAGCAATATATGCTACTTGTTGCTTTCACATGCTGCTTCTTACTTCAGCACACATGACCTTGTATAATCGAGTCCTGCAAGCTGTGTAAGCCTCCTATTTCATATTGTAGATTTAAAAGGTTTTATGTCTGATTGACAGAATTCCACGCATCAGAATGTCGATAACAAAATAGTGGAGTTTGGTTTTGGAGCAGCGGCAGGTAGCTTTATGGCCTGTCCCCACAGTCACACGTGGCTGATGTCAGACTGTCCCAGAGTTCCCAAGGCATTGCCGGAGTCCCGGGCAGGGAAAAGGAGCCTGAGGGCAGACCCAGGACTCGCAGACTGGTCCCCTCTGTGTCGCCTCTGCCGTTGGCCTTTATCAGTGCAGGTGAAGGAGTGTGTTGACTGCTCTCATCTGCCTCTAACAGCTCAAGGCCTGTCTCCCGAAACCCACCTGCCGGTCTCCTCCCCTCTTCTGCCTCGCAACCAAAACTACTCTGTTACCCATCAAACACCAGTCCCTCAGCTCCTCCACCCCAAGCTTGTTACCCAGCGCGGGTACCACCTTTCTTTCCCCAGCCAGCCCTATTCTGCTAGCTTCAGAGCAGATGCTGGCACCTTCAGGCCTCTGGGATCCCTGGGGCCAGAGGAGGAAAGATGAGAAAACCTAAAGGTCCAGACCCCTCGTCTGCGAGTGACAGATCTGTGCGTTTCTGTAGGCAGCAGAATGAGCACAGTGAGCTTATCAATGTGTATTGATAGCAAGACATCTTACACCATTTTGTTACACAAAATGATCAATTGGTAAACATACTGAAGAACATCATGAGTTTAGACACTAGAGAACTGACACAATAAAAACTGAAAATGTGCCTATGTTGAAAATCCTATGCATTAAAATTTCTGTGAACTGTAGCATTTATAACGAATTCCTCTATAACATACCAGTTATGCATCTTTTTTTTAAATTAAGGTATTACTGATATACACTCTTATGAAGGTTTCACATAAAAACGTGGTTACTACATTCACCCATATTATCGAGTCCCCCTAATACCCCATTGCAGTCACTGTCCATCAGTGTAGTAAGATGCCACAGAGTCACTACTTGTCTCCTCTTGTGCTACACTGTCTTCCCCATGATTGACCCCACACCATGTGTCAGTTATGCATATCTTTAAACATGCAAATTAGTGTATTTCATTGCAGCATTTATTTCAATTACGTATGATTTATAATTAGTTGCAAATGCAGCATGGACATCTACTCACAATCTAAAGAAGACTGGGGAATAGCGATTAGATTATCTAGTGTTCAGCAGAAGGAGTATTTTGTCTAGGAATGAGGGGCAGTGTGATACAGTGGAAAGAGCACTGAGCTTGGAGCCCCAGATCCCTTAGTTTAGTTTTCAAGAAAACTAAGCCAAGGAGAAAAGCGTGTATCATGCCAGGCGCATAGGCACTAGGTGTGCTACGTGCTGAGATAATGCCCAGCCTTTGCTGCCAAGGAGGTGGGAGAAAAAGCAAATCACTGATGGAAGAAAAGTGTGTAGATGCACAGGCAGGCTGTGCTCTCATAGAAGAGCTGTGTGATCAGGCAGGGATTGGAGCAGACTTCCTGGTGCTGCTGGAGCTGATCATGCAAACCAGTCTACTAACTGAAGAAGCAATGGTAAGTGCAAAGACACCAACAGTGTGGTTTGAGGGGAGAGCATGTGGTCTGAAGGCAGCTGCTCCCTGGTGGGCCTGTGGCATGCCGGTAGAGGGTAAGCTACCTTATGTTGCCAGGCATTCATTGCCACAGTTCTGAACTGGAGAAAGAGACACGTCACCAGTGGAAGCCAGTCCATTCTAACGATGTCCTGTGTCCGTAACTGATCATAACATAATTGTGTGGAGAAAGGAAGGGAAAAACTACATCCAAGATGACCCCTCCTTCCCATTTCCCTGTGTATTGTTGAGAAGCCCACCTGACTGTTGGCTCCATTGTGCTGATACTTGTCTCTGAAAGTTGTTTTTTTTCCTTCTTCTCTAGGCTGTTCTGGCTGGAGATTTAATTCTTTCTGCAGCATCTATAGCTCTGGCACGAATAGGAAATACAGCTGTTATATCTATTTTAACCCAAGTTATTGAAGATTTGGTGCGTGGTAGGTGAAATCCAACTTTTCTTCTTTTTTTTGTTTGATCTGGTATTTATCCAGGTAATCCAACCATATCTCAAGTGACCCTTGTCCATCTTTCTAGGTGAATTTCTTCAGCTAGGGTCAAAGGAAAATGAGAATGAAAGATTCGCCCACTACCTTGAAAAGACCTTCAAGAAGACTGCAAGTCTGATAGCCAACAGTTGTAAAGCAGTATGTACGTTCTGTCGTTTTTCAAGTTTAAAAAAATAAAAAGCATTTCTCTTTCTTGGGAGCTAATTCTCCTAGAAAAATTTTCACTGGAGAACCTTAAAATAGTGGCCCAGATCCCAAGAGGTCACTGAGAAAAGAATGACATGTCCAAATAGCAGAGAGCTTCTGCTGTGGTTTTCTTTTCGTTTTCTGCCCTTAAGACATTAACTTTCCATCTTTCTTCCCAAGAATTGAATCAAAATAAGCTTTATTCATTCACCCAATCTCATCTCCAAACTATGTAACCTTTGTAACAACTCACTATAATTTCTCTGATTCTTGTCACACACACTATTTCTGACACTTTACCTATAAAACGTTAATAAAGTGCTATGTTCTTAAACATATTTATATAGCAGAACATATCTGTTAGATGGCACTAGAGTTCTTTATCTTTTTTTGTAAGAAATAGATCCTCCCAGCATTTTTACATGAAATAAAAACAAGCCATTTTTCTACAAGGTATAAATTGTGAACCACAGCTTTTTCTTTCCCCTGCTTTCTCCCTGGCCTTCCTCCATTCTCCACATAGTTTTCTTTTTTAAAGAAAATCAGTTCATAATATCCTTAATCTGAGAATGAAAATGTGGTTTTCGTGCTAGCCCAGGAACAAGAGACAGTTCTCTCCACAGAATCATTCATCTGAGCATGTCTCAGCCTAATAGATGTAACAGAGATGAAACCTGGGCAAGTCATAATCCCTTGTAATTAAAGCAATAAGGAAGGAAAGCCTGTATGGGGCAAATGTAAGTTGCTGCCCTGGTACACTCTTAACATGATTACAGTTAAAGAGAGCTTTTCTCAAGCCTCTCAGGTGAAAAGTCCTTTGCCAATAGTGTCTGTGTTTTGACATGTCAAGATATGTATAATTGTGAGCCAGAAAAGAAAGAGGTCCACATTTTGTTCCTAAAAAGATCTAATTGAAGCCCTAAGGAATTATGTAGAGTGTGCTGGCCACCATCTCCACCATTTTTTCCTTCTTGGAAGGGCTATTATTTTTTAATTTCCAAGGAACTGCAAGTGAGCAACAGATGAAAATTTGAGAGACACTTGAATGCTAAATGTTAAGAGTCAGTGACTTGAGATGTGTGCCATAAAGCTGTTAATGTTAATCCTTCATTGATGTCATACCCTTGCTGGCCAAACCTCCAGGAAGGCTGAGGGTCCCCTCGGAAGGCACAGTGGTGTGCTAAGGGAAGCCCGCTGGTGGTGTCCCTCGCTTGAGGCTGCAGCTAGAAGCACTAGCAGGTAGTGGGGCATTTGGAACTGGACACAGTGAGTCACTGTCCGCACAAACTGGGTGTCCCACAGGCACAGGGTTCTAGTTACTCAGCGATCAAATCCTACAAAGGGCCCAGGAGGTGGACCCATGTCACCAGGGAAAGACTGAACTGCGGTCCTGCCCTGTGCTTAGGAGGCCAGAGACATTACAGCACACGTATGCATATGTAAAGAGCACCTTTTTCTTGACAGATCAGCAAGTAAACAAACGTGTGTGTGAATGTGGCTCGACGCTTATTAAAAATGAAATGTTTTATGCCCTCCACTACAAGGCATGCTGGCATCATCCCAGAATGATCTGATTTTCATGTGATTTATTCCTAGACTCCAGAGCTGTTAGAATAGTAAAGCAGAATCACAGCGTGAACTAAATAAAGTTTCTCTATTTAAAATACTAGGGGTAGAAGTATTACATATTCAAATATTGCTATTTTTATGTGCTCCTCTATTTATCATGCAAAGACATGTGGACTCCAAAAACTGCATGCAAGGCAAATTAGAGATGCCAAAAAAGAGGGGATGAGGAACATTTAAACATCAGAATTATTACAGAGGAACTAATGGAATTCCAAGATGTTATGGGAATTTGAAGGCAATTCATTAACTCTACCAAGGACACTATTTCTCCCCACCCTCTGTCCCCCTTTTTCGCCACTCATTTTATTTGTATGCAATGGAAGTAGGATTATAATCCAAGAGAGGAGTGTCTAGTTTTGTGACACTGACTGATATTAAAATAGAAATAATCTTTGAAAATGATTAGCTGTTTATTTACATAGAAGTCATGCAGAATACATTCTGCAGCTTACCAACAGAGACTCTGACTTGTTCTCCAGAAAATCTGATGGGAATGAGACCCAGGTCTGGTGGCCCATCCAGTGTTATTCAGTCAGATTGGCTGAGCTTGGATTTGAACCCACAACTGGGTGTAGTAAACCTGCATCCATTTGTTGTTCTCTTGGTTTTTGTCTGCATTTCTGTTCTTTCCAGAGCTGCATATGGCCTGAAGTCTATGAGCTGTCGTCCTATTACCTAATTTCAAAGCTACAGAGTGCCATCACAGACTTTGTTTCATGGGTCCTATTTCCAGAACACTCTATCAGTTATGATGTTCTTATCTAGTCTACAAATAGACCTTCTTCAGCTTTTTCCAGTTGCCATAATATTGTTACAATAAACGGGAAAACAGTTTTTTTCTGGTCCAGGATCCAGGCTAGGACCACGGTCCCACTGTTGTGAATCTTTAGTCTCTTTTCATCTGGAACATTTCCTGTCTTTGTTCTTAACATCACCTTGGCGTTTTGGAGAGTGCAGGCCTGTTATGTCATTGAGTCTCTCAGGCTGGGTTTGTCTGATATTTCTCAGGATTAGACACAGGTTGCGAATTCCTGGCAGGGATACAGCAGAGGTGGTGTGTGAGGCCTCTTCATCCTATTACTGGTGATGTTCACTTTGATCTCCTGATTAGAGTGGCATCGGCCAGGTTTCTGCATTTCCAAGTCACTATTTTTCCCTATTTGGGGTAAATATTTTGAGATCATGTAAATAATTGTGTTTCTTACCAAACTCTAACTCTGGTTTTTGCATCCGTTTAGGATTTTCTCCTGAAAAAGTTCACTTATTACCATAATGGTGGCCAGATGACAGTTTTGTTAATTCCCTCATTCCACTTAGTCAAGCTTCTACAACCAAGTTGACACTCTATTTTAAGGACGATCTTTACTCTGTGGACTCTTGCATTATTTTATTCTGTGGGTTATAAGCCTTTGTTGTTACTTATTGATTGTCACATTATTTGTCCAGTGGAAAGGACCCTGCAACCTGGCTCCTGTGTTTTTGATCAACCCCTATCACTCACTCAGTACTTCCTTAGTTTCTGGCGGGAGATATTCCAGGCTCACTTTGCCCTTCCCAGCACTGTGATCTGTCTTTTCTCCAAGGAGTCTTGGTTGTTTTTGGTGGAGAATGTTATTTACAAACCATGATCTGGGCACAAGGTGTCATTGCTTCTGGGCCCTCCCAGTGGACAGGGCTAGGGAGTTTGTGTATATATCATATCTGTATGTGGACATTCATATATCTGTCTGTCTGTGTCCACCAGTGTTTATTCTGCAGTATTCCTGATTTATTCCCATACTCTTTCCATATTTGTAACTCCCTTCCTCAACAGCAAGAAACTTGGCCCCCATTCTCCACAATATAGTTATTTTCTCAAACCGAGGATATACCCTAGGATGTTTAAAAATTGGTAACTCATATCTATGTGAAAAACCTTGTAGTTTAGTATTTGTTTACAGTTCCTTCTGTCTTGAGCCTCAGAATAAAACAGTTGACCCTTGAACAACATGGGTGTTAGGGCACTGAGCCCTCCCACCATGCAGTCAAAAATCCACATATTTAACTTGACACCCTGCCCCCACCCCACCCCCCAAAAAACCCCACCATGACTACTAATAGCCTAGTGTTGACTGGAAACGTTACCCATATCATAAAGTCAGTTAATACATATTTCACATGTATTCTTACAACAACATAAGCTAGAGAAACCAAAGTGTTTTTTGAAATTGTCCCAGACCTCCAAAAAATTTTCCCATATATTGAAAAAAGTCCATGTATAATATGGACCCATGCCATTCAAACCTGTGTTATTGAAGATCAACTGTACAAAATTCTGTATTCAAAAGTTACTTTACTCCCTGTTTTAGTGTGGTTACATTATAATCTGAAATTAATTGGGTTCTTTTAAATTCCACTTGAGTGGTTCCCTCCCATTCTTGCTGAATGTGGTTTTTGGTTTTGAAGTGATTGTTTTGTGTGTGAAGTGTTAGCACAGCTCAAGTCGGAACTGTGCAGAAGAAGTACATCATGAAATCCTCTCACACTGATTTGTAGAATCTCCCTTAATTTTTCTTTTATTTTGGTATTATTAATCTACAGTTACATGAGGAACATTGTTTACTAGACTCCCCCCATCACCAAGTTCCCCCCCCACATACTCCATTACAGTCACTGTCCATCAGCGTAGTAAGATACTGTAGAATCACTACTTATCTTCTCTGTGTTGTACAGCCCTCCCTGTGCCCCCTCTCACATTATACATGTTAATCATAATGCCCCTTTCCCCCCCCCCTTATCCTTCCCTTCCTACCCGTCCTCCCCAGTCCCTTTCCCTTTGGTAACTGTTAGTGCATTCTTGGGTTCTGTGAATCTTCTGCTGTTCTGCTCCTTCAGTTTTTTTTTTTTTTTGGTATCCCTAATCTACAATTACCTGAGGAACATTACATTTACTAGACTCCCCCTTCACAAAGTCCCCCCCCCATTACAGTCACTGTCCATTAGTGTAGTAAGATGCTGTAGAGTCATTACTTGTCTTCTCTGCATTGCACAGCCCTCCCTGTGCTCCCCCATTATACATGCTAATCGTAATGCTCCCTTTTTACCCCCCTTATCCCTCCCTTCCCACCCATCCTCCCCAGTCCCTTTCCCTTTGGTAACTCTTAGTCCATTCTTGAGTTCTGTGATTCTGCTGCTGTTTTGTTCCTTCAGTTTTTTGTTTGTTCTTATACTCCACTCCTTACCAAGGGAAATTTGGTAGTTATCTCCCCTTGGCTTATTTCACTGAGCATAATAGCCTCTAGCTCCATCCATATTGTTGCAAATGGTAGGATTTGTTTTCTTCTTATGGCTGAATAATATTCCATTTTGTATATGTACCACATCTTTATCCATTCTACTGATGGACACTTAGGTTGCTTCCATTTCTTGGCTATTGTAAATAGTGCTGTGATAAACATAGGGGTGAATATGTCTTTTTCAAACTGGAGTGCTGCATTCTTAGGGTAAATTCCTAGAAGTGGAATTCCTGGGTCAAATGGTATTTCTATTTTGAGCTTTTTGAGGAACCTCCATACTGCTTTCCACAATGGTTGAACTAATTTACATTCCCACCAGCAGTGTAGGAGGGTTCCCCTTTCTCCACAACCTCACCAACATTTGTTGTTGTTTGTCTTTTGGATGGTGGTGATCATTACTGGTGTGAGGTGGTATCTCACTGTGATTTTAATTTGCATTTCTAATCTCCCTTATTTTTTAAATAGCTTCATTGTGTCCCACTGTGGGGAACATCATAGTTTACTCAGCCACTCCTCTTTACAGGCATTTGGGTTTCCAAGAGTTTCATTTACAGGAGTACTGCAGTAACTAAGCTTATGTTTTTGTATTGTTGAAGGGTTCCCTCATGGCCTATTTCAAGGTAACTATATGCACTGGTTAGATAACTACCAAATTTCCCTCCATAAGGATGTATGTGTTTCTCCGGCAGTTTATGCCTGTGTCATTCAGACACTAACTGAATGTGTCATAGGACTTAAATTTTTGCCAATCTGATAGATGAGAAATGACATCACAGTGGAGTTTTACTTTGCGTCTTTCCTTTCTGAATGGAGTGGAACCTTTTCAGATGCTAAAGGGCCATTTTTGTATCTTTGGTTTTTATGAATTATCTATGTATGTCTTTTGCCCATTTTTCTTGCAAGTGGGTTTTGCCTCTGTTTTAAAGAACCATTGATATATTAAGAATATTAGCTCTTTATCTGTGATATGTTGCATGTTTTCTCCCAATATTTTCATTTGGTTTTTGACAACCCATTTTGATACCTTTTATGGAATTATGGAATTCCAGTAATCACCACATTTTAATAAATAAGACCATAGGACATGCATGTATCTAGCAGAAAATCTTTTTAACTCACAGTGGTACAAAGACCACTTCAAAGATAAAGATGCCTGGTCTCAAGTGCTATGCTCCTGCTAATGCAGACAGTGCTTCCTGATCTTTTTGAGACAAGGCACGTAAGAATATTATGAAGGGTATGGGCCTTCCCCCGAAAAGATGCACATGTGCACAGCATGACCTGGCGACCTGGCTGGGGACCTACTTCTAACAGAACAGTTTGAAAATAGGAGGCCTCTCTCCTCTATGTGAAACCAAGAAGTGTTCATCTCATGCAGCATTTCTCCTTTCTGGTTTTTGCATTGCATTGTTCTCATTTTCCAAGTTGTGGTAAGACAGATTATGCCAGTTCCTAGCCCTGAATGGCTGGTACCCTTGGTGCCTCAGGTCCTACCTCGTAAGTGAGCAAACATGAGATCTTAGAATAGGAGCATGTAGTGAGGGCTCAGTAATTGTTAGCTCTTATCATCAACAACCACAGAAGAACTACTATGGGTTATTGCGAGGTTTAAGACAAAGGGCTTATAATGTGAAAGGCTCATCACATCTACTCCATAAATTTTAATTTAATGAGTTTAGAAATAGAAAGGAGTTTTTAAAATTCAGGAAGAAAGTTTGTATCTACTACTTTGTGTTGAGGAAGCGATTGCTTTCTGAGTTATTTCTCCTTGGAAAAGGGGGTTGCAATGTTCTGGGCTTGGCATGGCTGAGGCTGCCCACATCTTGCCACACTCATTTTCAGCCAAGCTGATGGATATCCTGACTTCTTTCAAAGTTCCTGAACTGTCTCTCCCTTGGTCTTCTAGATTCTTCTGTTGAGTTGAAAAGGAGTCCCTCCCTAGAGCCCATGGGTCAGTACCTGCTAGGGGAAGGTCTTTGCTGTTGACAACAGTTGTGAGTTTATTATTCCCTCATTGAAGTGGCCACCTGACTTTTATGATGTGTCCCATTTTATCAAGGACGTGTGGCCAGACATTACACAGATTTCATCAAGGTGTCAAAAACATCATCAGGACTGAGCAAGTTCTGTAACCTGACTTTAGTGAGCAGAGCCGCATGGACACTCCCAGGCTATCTCTGCATCTAGTGGCTAAGGGGGGATTCTGAACACTAATAGCAAACCCCCTGAATTATAACCAGCTGCCAGGCACTGCACTGAGGGCTTAAGGCACATCATGTGTACTCCTCCCAGACACCCTGTGGGGTAAAGTGCTTTGGCTCCTACATTTTACGCGTGACGAAACTGAAAAGCACAGAAAGGTGAGGTGACCGTCCTGTGTTGGTTGTCCAGGGCATGGCTGCACTGCTCACTGGCACCATAGCACCATTCTGATGCCTCAGCAAAGCAGCATCCCGAGCAGAGGACAGAGGTGGGGGCTGAAGCCAGGGGACAAGGCTCTGAGTCCCCAGCAACCCATCACAGAAGGCCTGGAGTTCCAGATGGCTTGGCTGTCAGTGTAGACATTTTCTCTCCAGTGGAGTTGGTTTCCCCTTCCCCCTTTTGGTTTTACCTCATCTATGCTGTATACATGGCTGGGTCTGCTTAGCATATGTAGCAGAGCTGCAGGAAATGCACACAGGTGGCCAGTCCAGCTAGGCTGTTTCTTGGTTTTGAGGTTTTAAAAAAGACTTAGAAATCCTACTTCTCCACCACTGAAAGGGGGGGAAAGTCTTTGTACAGTTATATTACTTGTTGTGAGAGAACTATGGAGATAGTGAGGCCAGTGAAAATCCTTGAATAATAAAAGAACAATTGCTATGTGTGAAGCATGGGTCTTGAGGCTATTACAGGCACATCAAGAAAACTGCACTTCAGAAATAGTTGAAATCACCAAAATTATTTAAGGACAGGACTACAAAATGGGGAAATATATATATGGCAATATCATGTGTACAATTAGATTAGATTAGACAGCCCTGCCCTAAGGGGTGAATGCATAGAAAACCAAATACAGCCAACAATTGGGCTGGGCTACTGAGTGCTGGGAGCCAGCATATTGGAGTTTGTTTCTTCTGTGTGTCAAAAAGTTTTGCCAGCAGAACTGGTTTAGTTGCAGCTCTGTTTTTCCTATGCAGTGGGAAAGAAGGTGTTCTTAGAAACTAAGGTAACAGTCTGAAGCTGAAATCCTACCATTAGAAATGCCGTTGTTTTAAAGTTTGTTCTCCCAATGGCAGTATCTGCTGATCGTACGTAATGTGGCCTTGGGCCCCTTACTAGTGGGAAGAGATGGATGGCTCCTTCCATGCAGGGTGGCTGCCTTGTTTCTACCTGCCAGCAACTTATCTGGGAATTCTCCTTCCGCTTCAGGTCTCTGTGTTAGGATGCCCTGACCCAGTGGTCCATGAGATTGCCTATCAATACGGAAAAAATGTGGGAATAGCTTTTCAGGTTGGTCTTCTTCTTTATCAGCATGGGCCTGTTGGTATGGTGGGGAGGGCAGCAGTGACACTGGGATGGTGACATTCTTACTCTTTTCCTCCTGTCACTAGCTCATCGATGATGTGCTGGACTTCACCGCGTGTTCTGACCAGATGGGTAAACCAACATCAGCAGACCTGAGGCTTGGGTTAGCCACTGGCCCTGTCCTGTTTGCTTGTCAGCAGGTAGGTTTTACAAACCCACTCTGACACACTGCTGTGTGGCTCTACATCCCAGGCACAGCTGATGGGAAAGTTTAGGAATAGATGGGAAAGCATTCAGATAAGAGAACACAGATCTGAATCTGATCCTGGCTCTAGGCCTGGGAATGTTGAAGCCTGTCATTTCACTTCTAAGCTGTATCTGTTTACTGATCTGTAAAATTGAGATGATCACAACCTTCCACCCAAGGTTGTGAGGCTTAACTGAAATAATATTCATGGAGATATTTTAAGTGCTGTATGCATTTAAGGTAGCACTGTATTTTAGTATATTTTGGGCACTGACTAGAGTGCAGTTTCTCCATCTCGACTATAGAACTGGACTTTGGATGTGCCTTGGAGCCCCTGCCTGCAAGCATAAGAAATTCTGAAAAATGCTCCAGGAAATGCTTAGGAAGCTCCAGCAGTGATACAGCAGTGTGCAAGGCAGACGTTCCCACAGCCTGCTCGGGACCCCGGCCACATCGCTTTTGGCTGGGCCAAATGTTACTTGAAATAACTGGGATGTTGGCTGATATTTGGACATATTTTTAACATTTTCATCTCAGCAATATTTAATTCATTATTTAGCAAAGCAATACGATGTTCATCACCATGCCATGAAATTAAAAATTAGCTCTTCAGTCTAAAATTTTAGTAACTTTGTCGTTCAGAGATTTTGCCTCTCTTAAAGTTTACAAAGATAAATCATGTCTTCCATAGACCTCAATGATTCCATTTTGATATTATAGAAACCACTGACCTTGCTTTTGATCAGTTTCTGATCCAAGAAAGGAGAAATCATCTTTTATCCAGTATCTAGCTGAGGCATAACCAGGGTAATTCTTCCCCCAAGAGGCTTGGGAGGGGCTTGGAAGAGGCTTAGGAGGGGTTGAGCCAGGTTACCCTGGCCAACACACTAGTGGCTAGCAGTCAGTGGAGGAATGAAGGCTGTGGACAGAGACACTGGAACACGTTATGGAAATATCTGTCCATATTACCAGGCTCCATCCTGTCAAAGGATGGAGGCAGAGGTAAGAAGTGAAAGGGTAACTGACTCATCAGCCCAAAACTCAGAAAAATATTAATACATGTGCCAACAAAAAATGTGTAAAATTCCCTGTATACATTAAAGCATGACTGAGGAATATTTGCTTTTTCACTGTTAAGCCACAAAAAAACAAAGGATTCATGAGCCACATAAATGTCAAGGCAAGCCGAGATTAGAAAGAGCAGGCACTGGCTACCGTTTATACCACTACAAACATCAGTCTGCTCCACAGAGCCTGGTTAGTGAATGTGAATAAACAAGATGGGATTCTGCCAGCTTGGGGAAGATTCCTTTAGCTAGGCCCCAAGGTTATCAAGATGATTAAGGAACCTTTCCCTAAAGAAGTTGTCCACTCAAAAGCTTTAGGAGCTATATTTTTAGAAATATTAACAATTATAAATAATTGTCATGAGTCTCATGATACTAATTAACAGCTGAGTCCTACTTAAGATAACTGAGAATGGAGCCCTGTCTCATTGTTCTACTATGAATCTCATTTCAAAAGAAACTCGTCCTGAGGAGGCAAAAATATGGCAGAGTAGGAGGGTAAGGTGAAACCTCCTCCCACACATGCTCCAAGGAAGCAACTACAGCAAATACAACTAAGCCTGAAAATGACCTGAGGACTGCAGAGCAGACCACCTGCACCTGGGGAAGAGAAGACCACACAGAGAAAAGTGGCAGAGCTGTAAACAAGCAGGACCCAAGCCCTTCCCCCATCCCAGCCCTCAAGTGGGAGGAAGAACTGAGTGGGGAGGGAGCAGGCACCCAGAACTCTGCACACCTAGCCCTGGAGATCTGCTCTGAGAGCATGAGTCCACATTGCATTGGGTTCTGGTGATTAACAAGGCTGGACACCAGGAAGAGTTGGAGCAGTCTGGGAGGCTGAGACTCCAGCCACTTGTGGAGGATGGGCACACTCCCAAGTCCTGCTGACACCTGACAGAGGCAACAGTTTGAAAGATTTGCCAGAAGCAGCAGGAGGAGTGCCAGAGGGGCAAGGGTTGGATGGAACTCTCCCCAGAGAAAGGGTAGGTGGGCAACACTTCTGCAGCCCTCCCTTGACCCAACAGGTCGGGTAACTCTCGGGAGCCCCACATGCTCCATTGCCCTCACTGGTGGCTCAGCCCCAAGGCACTACTCCCCTGTGTGCATCTGGAACCCCACCCACTTGGCCCAGCAATGTCAGATTTTGCTGCCTGGAAGGCAGAGGGAGGCTCTCCCAGCTGTCTCAATCCTGTCTCAGCTCACTAGGCACCTTCAGGTGCAGCTTCAAGCACTCCTTTGTGGGCAGCTAAGGTCAGGGTCTTGCCACCACCCTGCGCCCTCCCTTGCACCCTGCCACCATGCTACTTGCCACCACCATGCGCCCTGCCACTGCTTCACTCACCTTACTGGGTGCCTGACCCAGAGCGACATGACTTCCCTGCCCACCCCAATAACTCTGCAGCTCTGCCATTGCTGCAGGGCAGGCAGAAGGCAGCCCTACCCATAACGATCCCAGCAGAGACAAACTGCCAACCTCAGCAGACTGAGATAGACTACTGCCAGCAGATGGAGTGGTAGCCCCACCCATTGCCCACCAACAGCAACTGGGGCTCCACTACAAAGGAGAACTAGACATTGGAGAGTAAAGAGTCTTGAGCTGGGCACCACAGGATGCTTTCTTCATAAAACCATTACCAGGTAGCAAAGCAGATCCATCTAATGAAAAGAGAAACCCTAACAAATGAGGAGGCAGAGGAATAGCTTCCAAACAAAGCTACAGGATAAGACATCTGAAAGAGGGCTAAATGAAAGGAGATTACCAATCTTCCTGATAAAGATTTCAAAGTAACAGTCATAAATATGTTCACTGATCTGTGGAAAAGTATTGAAGATTTCAGGAAGGACTTCAACAAAGAGAAAAGCTAAAGAGCTCCTCAGAGCTGAAGAATACAGCAACTGAAATGAAATATACACTGGAGGGAATAAATATTTCTGCAGTAGAGGAGACAATCAGTGAGACTGTTGGATGTTAGAGAACAGGAATGCAATGAACCTGAAAAACAGAGAAAAAAGAATTTTTGGTAATGAAAGAATGCTAAGAGCTGTGTAACAACTCCAAATAAAACAATATTCACATAATAGGATACCAGAAGGAGAAGAGAGAGACAAAGAGATAGAAAGTCTCTTTGAGGAAATAATTGTTGAAAACTTCCCCAATCTAGGGAAGGAAGTAGACACTCAGGTCTTAGAAGCACAGAGCCCCTAACAAAAGGAACCCCAGGAAGACAACACCAAAACATATAATAATTAAAATGACAAAGACAAGGATAAGGAGAGGGTATTGGAAACAGCCAGAGAGAGAAAAAGGGTTATTGATAAGGGAAACCCAATCAGACTATCAGCAGACTCTCAGCAAAAATTTTACAGGCCAGAAAGGAGGGGCATAAAATAATGTATTGAAACAGAAGTACTTTTAACCAAGAATCCTCTACCCAGCAAGATTATCATTCAAATTTGAAGGAGCTAAAACACTTCTCAGGGAAATGAAGGCTGAAGGAATTTACAATCACTAAACTGGCATTACAGGATATGTTAAAGGGACTTCTGTAGACAGAAATGTTCCTGAGCCTAAATAGTTTTCAGAAACAAAAATAAACCCAAATGAAGGTAGTAGACCATGTACTTACCAAGTAAGGATGAAATTAAAACAAAAGTAGTAAAACCAACTATACACAAAATCAGTCAAGGGATACACAAAAAGTGAAGATTATGACATCTAACACATAAAGTGTGGAGGAGGAAGAGGATAAAAAGTACTTTCAGATTGTGTTTGAAATAGAGCAATCATCAACTTAAGGTAGACTGTTAGTTAGGACACTATCACTGAACCTTTTGGCAACCACAAACCTAAAAACTATAATAGATACACAAAAAAATTTAAAAATCCAAACACAACACTAAAGAAAACCATCAATTAACAAGAGAAGAATATGAGAGAGGAAGAAACAAAGAGAGGAACTAGAAAAACAACCAGAAAAAATTAATAAAGTGGCAATAAGTACATGCCTATCAATAATTACCTTAAATGTAAATGGACTGAATGCACCAATCAAGACACAGAATGTCAGAATGGAGAAAGAAACAAGACCCATCTGTAATACTGCCTAAAAGAGACTCATTTCAGAGCCAAAGATGCACACAAACTGAAAGTGAAGGGATGGAAAAAGGTATTTCATGCAAATAATTGAGAGAAAAAAGAAGGAATAGCAGGTACTTGTATCAGACAAAACAGACTTCAAAACAGAGAAAGATATAAAGAAGGACATTACATAATGATAAAGGCTCAGTCCAACAAGAGGCTATAATCATAAATATGTATGCACCCAACACAGGAGTACCTAAATATGTAAAACAAATACAGAATTAAAGGGGAAATAGATTGCAACTCATTCATTTTAGAAGACTTTAGAACACCACTCACATCAGTAGATAGAGCAACCAGACAGAAAATAAGGAGACCGAGGCACTGAACAGTACATTCGATCAGATGGACTTAACAGATATCTACAGAACATTCACCCAAAACCAGCAGGATACACATTTTTCTCCAGTGTACATGGAATGTTCTCCAGTATAGATCACATACTAGGGCACAAAAAGAGCCTCAATAAATTCAAAAAGGTTGAAATTGTATCAAGCAGCTTCTCAGACCACAATGGTGTGAAACTAGAAATAAATTACATGAAGAAAACAAAAACAAAAACCCACAAACACATGAAGGCTAAACAATGTTCTAAATAATCAATGGATTGATGAGCAAATTAAAACAAAAATCAAGCACTATGTGGAGATGAATGAAAATAAAAATTCAACTGTCCAAAATTTGTGGGACACTGCAAAAGTTGTTCTAAGAGGGAAGTATATAGCAATCCAATCCTCCCTCAAG